ACCTTTTTCTTTTCAGTATACTTTTTATTACAAAAGATTTCTGGGTAAAAATAGAACTATACATATCGGATGTACGAAACTGGCATATGGAGATAAAGCAAAATGAGCATCAGGGACTCACCAACTGCATTGAATTCAAACATAAAAAACAAACCGTTAATGCAAATATGGGCAAGTTCTGTACTCTTCTTTTAGATTTTTTAAATTGCAGTAAAATGTACATAAAATAAAAATTATCACTTAAACCATTTTTAAGTGTACAGTTCAGTGGCATTAAGTACATTCACACTTCTGTGCAACCATCACCATCATCCATCTCCAGAATTCTTTTCATCTTCTAAAACTGAAACTCAGTACCCATTAAACACCAACTTTCCATTTCCCCTCCTCCCCTCCTCTGGCAACCAACACTGCTTTCTGTCTCTATGAAATTGACTATTCTAGGTACCTCCCATGAGTGGAGTCATATAGTATTTGTCTTTAGCAGTTGACTTTTCAACATGGCAAAAGACAGAGATGAAAACGCTTAGATGACTTACATGTCCCTCTGACTTGATAAATATGTTAGGAGCTGGAGAGCTGTATTATTTTGGAAAGGTGGTGAGACAGCTATATTGCTTTTTTTTTTTTGCATTTTATGTTGAGACAGCTATATTTCTTTGTAATGGGAGAGGCAGGAAATATCTGACATATGGAGAAATCTAGTTAAATCATATAAAACTGAATTTCAGGTATTTGTTATAGTATAATAAATGACTATAGAATTTAAGAATTTATGGTTTTACAAACATATACAATTTGGTTGAAAGCACTAGTATATCTTCTTTTAAAACTATTTTTAGTAATTATAATTATAAATACCTTTTTAAAAAAGTTCTTATGCATTAGTCATTGTTGTTGCAAAGTGCCTTATATGTGTTATTTTACTAAATTTGAATATTCATAACTATTTGAAAATTGGAGTATCACAACTCAAGGGACAAGTTTACAGGTGAGGAAACTAAAGTTGACAGAGATGAAGTCACTTACCCAAGGGTATCTGGAGTCTGCCTGATTCTGCAGCCCGTGTCCTTAAATCAGCCTATCCAGGTTGCCTCTCTGTAACTAGCACAATTGGTACCACTTGCCTTTCACTATACTTCTACCTGAGCATTTTGGTTCAGGGAAGCTTCAGGAATCTAAACAGGAGTTTGTGGATAATGACAATGAATAGGATAGTAATAACATTTATTAAGTGCTTTCTATGTGCCAGGCACTATTACATTACTCATTCAGGCCTCATAACCACACAGTTATTCAGGGAGTCTCTTTAGGCAAATGAGTAAATAAAGACACAGAGAGGTAAATGCACTTGCCCAAGGTTACACAGCTGGTAAATGGCAGAGCCAAGTTCTTCATACTAATCCACACCAATAACATGACTCAGTGAGTTACTTTATACTGGCTTCTCACTGTTCCTGCCACCAGCCATGTTTTTTTCCTGTTTCTTCTCTCCATCTTGTAGTTTCTCCTCACTCATACTTATAACCTTACCTTGCTATGGCTCCTCATTGTTTATACCTCACACTGTGGCCTTTCTCTCTACATTCTTTGGGTTGAAGTTTTCACTATAACTGCCCTATTTTCTAATTCAAATTCCTGGTACAGCTCCTTTTTTTTTTTTTTTTTGAGGCTGTTTTTCATGCCAGACTACCTCAGAGATCACCGCCTCTCCTCAGGTCAATCAAGTCAAGGATTCGTCTTTAGTTTAACTGGCTATGCTTGTGAGTAAGGGTTGGAAGAAAGGGTGATATGGTGTGGCTACCTAGAGAATTTTCCCTCTGGAGAGGCTGTGGGGATATTGGATACTTTATTTAACATCTTTGGTACACCACCCATTATCCTAGTATTAACAGCCGAACAGTATTCATGTTTGTGTTCTACCCTTATCCTCTTATATATACTTTTTACATGGTTGCAATGGTAGTATAAATTACATCCAGTTACTTCAAGGTTTTATTCAGTCAATGTATTTCCCTTACTTGCTACAGTCTTTATAATTCTTCTCTTCAATAAGCAGAAGTAGCATCCAGTGCCTTTCGGTAGTCTAAGTCGGGGGTAATGAGGTCCCAAACTAGTGTTGGTGGAAGAAATGCACAAGAAGGAATAAATCTGAGTGATGCACAGAAGAGCTAACTGTGGACAAGGGAACAAAAGCCAGTAAAAATAATTTTGAGGTCTGAAACCACTAACGATGCAGGTTAAAGATGAGGAAGAGCTAGTTCTGGTGGCAGTAGTGGGCGACGAAGAGGGGAAATGGTGAATTTCTGATAGACACGTCAAAGTTAATATCCAACAAGAGTTCAGGAGACGATACTGGAGCTCAAGATGAAATGTGTAATCATCTGCCTAAATATGTCATTTGATCAAAGCCCAGGAGAAGATGCCGTCACCAAAAACTCTGCAGAATAGAACTAGGCGAAGTCTGAGGAGACTTCAGGAAAGACCCTGGTTTTGGTTCAAGCCTATAGGATGCAAATGAAATTACTTTGTGTACTTAATTAGAGTTTACTTTTGGAATTAAAAAATTACTATGTCCCTTTTAAGGTCCTTACCCTAATATCTACCAGAATTGTGTCTGGTTTATAGATCCAAGTTTAGAACAATGTAGGTGTCCAATACTATTTGTTTAATTAATTAACAGAACATTTAGAAAAGTATTTTAAAAATCAAGTATATGTATAAGTGGCAAGAATGTCCTAGAGCTGGAAGCAGACCTCTACGGAATTAAATAAATAATAATTATCGAGCCCTTGCAATGTGTTAATAATGCTTTCTCATTCATACATTTAATATTCACAACAAGCATAAAACAGATATTTTCAAATGGTCCTTAGATGAGGAAATTGAGGCCTAGAGAGTGTTGAATAACTTGTTTACGATGATGTAAGTGATGGCACATGGACTCAAACTGCCATCTACATGAGTTTAAACCTTTTTTCCTGCTGTATGTCATTCTGCACCACACTTGTTAATTCTTTTGAAATATATTGCTAATTTATTAGTTTAGTGGAAAAAAGCCATTTAGTATATGAAACTAAACTGTGCCATCTGTCAGTTTAGGGCCAATTAGGGCATATGTTGCACAGATTAAGGATGAGCTTTATAACATGCCATGATTGGAAATCTGCTCCACACAGACTATAGTTCTGATTCTTGCATTTCCATGACAGTGCATTTCCTTTAATGTTCTAAATATCCTTTCAATAAAACTCCTCAGTTTAAGAACAATAGGCATACCTTAGAGATATCTTGGGTTTTGTCCCAAACCACTGCCAAAAAGCAAATATTGTAATAAAACGAGTCCAATGAATTTTTTGGTAAAAGTTATGTTTACTGTAATCTATTCAGTGGCAATAGCATTACACCTAATAACATACATACCTTAACTTTAAAATACTTCTTTGCTAAAAAATGCTAACCATCATCTGAGTCTTTAGCAAGTCATAATCTTTTTGCAATAGTAACATCAAAGATCACTGACCAGATTACCATAATAAACATGATAATAATGAAAAGTTTGAAATACTGTGAGAATTACCAAAATGTGACACAGAGACACAAAGTGAGCAAACGCTGTTGGAAAATTGGCACCAAAAGACATTTGCTCGATGCCGGGTTGCCACAAACTTAAAATTTGTAAAAACGGTGGTATCTGCAAAGTGCAATAAAGCAAAGCTATACCTGTATTTACAAACAGATTTATTAGCTTACTATTTGGGAGAAATTTTATCATCACTAGAAATACATATAATTGTTCCCCTTTGTCTGCAAGTTCCTTACTCAGGAAAAGCATTAAGAAAATCAAATAATTAGAACATGCCCATGAAAACAATTCTTGATATCCTCAATCTGAAAACCTTGCTCAAAAAAGATCTCCTTTTTGAACATGTTGTATCTTGACAATCATTTCATTTCCTTATTTCCTTCATCTCCTTCCCTTTTCCTAACCAGTTAAGTAAATAATTCTGATTGTATTTTTCCTATACTATTCTTAAGTTGGGTTATCTTTTGTTTTTCTTAATTCCTTCCTGTGTTTGTTCCATCTCACCTATTACAGTTCAAACTCTAGAGGACAGGGACTTGTCTCTTCCATTTCTTTTGTTATGGCAGTAGTGTGTAATGAAATAAGCAGATTTGAAATAAGATGATATAGATGCTACAGTCAAACCCCAACTCTCTCACTTCCTACCTGTCCATCTGAATAAGTCACTAAACCTGTTTCTTACTCCATGGCATTTTTTATAAAAAGGAAATAATGTCTATCTGATTTCAAAGTCCATGTGATTTTTCACTCCGCTTCTCTGACTCTGACGGATGGCATTCAAGAAGTGTTTTACAGTTCCATCCTCAGGCACATGCAGTACATACAGCTCACAGTCAAACCTAAAATTACTACACGGAGAATGATAAAATAACAGCTGTTAAAGGCAGTGGGGAAGGCCACCAGATCTGGATTGTGGAGGGCGATTACCTTCTTACAGTTTATTTTTAAAGTAATGCTGAGAATTAGCTTACATGTAACAATATTTCATCACATTATCATAAGCTATCACTGTCTGCCCCCAACTCTGCTCCCCAGCAAAGCAAGTTCATTAATCTAACATAAACTTGTCACCACTCGTTGGCAGACTCTGAGCTTTTACCTGGCCACAGAAGAATGTGACTTCATATTTATAGCTCTGACATGAGTATGATTTAGAGCAAAAATCTTATTTGGTTGCACCTGTGATTTCAGCTTAAATTCCTTCTCTTTCCCTCCTCCCCTCACCTTATTTATGACAAAACAAATGGCGTAAATTAAACAAAAACCTTTGTAGGTCATGTTATTACTCTCTTTTGCAGAATTATATGAAATAATATTTTTTCTATAAATTACCCAAGTAAAATATTCAGGATTCTAACTAATACATCTGAACAAGATGGAATATTAAAAGTATCAAAAAAGCAAATTCTCTTACTTGACATTTCTGACGCAATTGTCGTAGCTCTTTTATAACTGGAGCTAGAGCTGACTTCTTTTCAGACACCAGAGAATTTAGTTTTTTAACCTGTCATTTAAACAAAAGACATGACATCTACAAAAAGAACTCAAAAGAATAAAAATACTACGTGCATAAAGATATTTATTGAAGTGTATATATGAGTGAAAAAAAACTATAAATTACTTCAGTGCCAAACAATGGGGAAGTCATTTAGTAAATCTTGATTCCTCAATAAGGTGGAATATCATTTAGCTATTCAAAATGTCAGTTTTTAAGACTGAAAACCATTATGGGAAAATATTTATAACCTAATACTGAATGACTAAAACAAATTACAAAGTTGCCCATATACAACTTTGTATTATGTAAAAAAGTAAATAATGATGTAGGTTATGTAAAACACACATAAACATGGATGAAGTGATATTCAAAATACTTACAAACGGCATAACTAATAACCAAGCAGAATGGGCACAAGCCACAAAGATGAACAGGGTCTTGGAGGCCTCTGCGGTGCTAAATGTTAATCTTTTTAGGAGTTAGAATGTGGTGAGATCGGGCATTCTGGGACCAGTGAGGACAAGACAGGGGAGGTGGGTACTCTGAGAGTTTGGGGCAGCAGCTGTTTACCAATGAGGAATGAAAGATTTCAACATTTTAATGCCTGATGAAGCTATATCTGTGTATCCTGGTTGCACAGTAGTCCTGAATATAGAAAGATATGAAGGACACACACAAAAATGAAATAATTTTACTAACTGAAGTGGTATAATTTGGGAAAACTTATTTTTATCTTAAATATTCCTTTAATGTTATGTAACTTTCACATACGTCAAAAAACCACAAAGTGCATAAACTATCAAATTGAACCACCTCATTAGAATGGAAAAATTTGAAAGAGAGTGATAAAGACAGATGAAAGAATAAAAACAATGTGCAGAAATGAAAGTTTGAATGTTTCACTGAAAACAGAACAAACACAAAAATATCTGCTTTACAGCTACACAATAAAGACAAGAAGAACAAGAAAACCATGGTATCACCATTTCTGACATGTCATCCAGTGTCCGTCCTTTCATTTCATCAACTTCACTCTTCAGTGCAGATACTCTTTCCAGTTCTTCTTGGGTGTAACTATATCCGGAGACACCCTTTTTCTCCTCAATAGTTTGCTAAAAGTAAAGAATAAATGCAAGTATCAAAGTGAGGTCCATAACATGAATGTCAAAACCTTGATGATTTCATAGAAAGTATACAAATTTAATACACAGTAATAAAGTTGTAAATAAAACAAAATAGTTTAGAATACTAAAGAACAATCTTCACTGACTTCAACAATAATTACATATCTTCATATGTAATAAACTTTCACTAAATTTTACTATGGTATCTTCAGTTGCGTAGGAAGTATTTACAATTCTTAGGCTTTAGAATAATGCTATGTATTTGGCACAGAATCTAAAACATTGGATACATTCAATAAATATCTGGTGAATAAATGAATTTTCAAGTGATCAATTATATGTGTTTTCTCACTCATCCAGTTTTTTATTATATACCTTAATGTGCTAAGCACCATTCTAGTCACCAGATATACTGCAGTGAATAAAACAGGAAAAAAAAAATCCTCTCCCTCACAGAGCTAACTTCTAGTGGGAGTAAAGGAGCAAAAGGTAAACAAGCAAAATACATCCCGTTTAAGGGAAGAGTGGGGTTGGAATCTTAAATAACAGGGTGGTTAGAGAAGGTCTTCCTGAGAAGATGGCGTCTGGGTAAAGTCCTGTAGGAAGTGAGAAAGCAAGCCACAAAGACACCCAGGGGATCAGCAAGTGCAAGAGAAATAAGGCAGGCGCATACCCAGCCTTTTGAAGAAAGAGCTAGATGGGCAGAGCTTAAAGCAGAGTGAGAATGAAGTGGAGGAGGGAGCGGGGGAGCATATAGGACTCAGCTGGTTTGCTGAAACAGTCTCAGTTTATGTCTGTTGTCCTTTGCATTCTCAAAAGTGTTCTAGTTTAGATGATAAATTATGTTGTTACCTTATTTTCAGGCCAGTGAAAGAGCTTAGACTTATTTTAAATGAAATGGGAAGCTTGCTGGAAGGTTCAGAATAAAGGAATTTTTAAATGATCACTTTAACATCTGTGCTGAGATCAAACCATAGAGGGGCAAGGACAGGGGCAGAGAAGCCAGTTAGAAGACCATTCCAATAACTCAAGTTAGAGATGACGGTAACATGAACCAGGTAGGGGCAGCAGAGGTGATGACAAGTGGATCTGGACATATTTTGAAGATAGATCCAACAAGATATGACAGATCACATGCAGGGTGTGAGGGAAAGTGAGGGGTGAAGAATGACTCCAAGGTTTTGGCCCGAAGAACTGGGAGGATGAAGGTGCCATCTGTTGAGCTGAGGAAGAGTTGGGAGGCACAGGAGAGGGAGTAGTGAAGATCGGAAGTTTAGTTTTGGTCATGTTAAAAATTTGAAATCTCTATTAGAAATCCAATAGAGACGTCAAGATGTTACATGCACAAGACTGGAACTTAAGAAGAAACCTAGACTGGAGATACAAATCTGTGAGTTGTCTGTATAGACAATGTCTTCACAGAAGTAAAGTCTCCATCACAGGTGTGAGGGCTGCATCTTAGGAGTAAGAGAAAACTGGAAAAATGCCAGCTCTAACCAAACTGCATCAAGGTGATCTACGAGGAAAAAAAAATTAAGTGCTCTTTCAAGGAAGACAAATATATCCGGAGACTGACATTTGATAAAAAGTTACTAGGCAAGCAAAGTAACAGAAACAAATGTCTGAAAGCCAAGAGAGAAAATACAGACAATAGAAACAGGCAAATGAATTTATCAGTAAGGACATTCAAAATAGCTGTCATTAATATATTCCAGAAAGCACGTGAAAAGTTGGAGAATGTTATAAATAACTGGGATTTATAAAATACAATCAAATGAAAATTCTAGAACTAAGAAACAGACTTGATACTGAGAATTCAACACATGGATTTCACAGTAGACCTGACACAACAAAAAAGGATTAATGAACTGGAAGATAGTACAGCAGGAAAAAAAAATCCAGATTAAATTACAGAGAGAAACAAGAATAGGAAATGAAAATAAAGCAAAACACAAAACCCATAAGAAACATGCTAAATGGTGAAAAAGTCTAACATACGTGTAACTGTAGTTCGTAAGGAAGGAAAAAAATGAGACAATGATAATATTCAAAGGAATACTGGCTGAGAACTTTTCAAAAACTGACAAAAGATACTAAGCCACAAATTTAAGAAGCTTTGCAGACCCCAAGCAAGATAAATGAAAAAGAAAACTACATTTAGGAAAATCACAGTAAAACTGATGAAAAACCAAAGACAAAGAAAATCTTAAAAGCAGCCTGAAAATAACACTACTACCTTAAAAAACAAGACTTAAAACAGAAATAATGGAAGTCAGAAGACAAGGGAATTAAAGCTTTAAAGTGCTGAAAGAATATAGCTGCCAACCACAGATTCTATATTCACAGTGAAAATGTGCTTCAAAATGAAGGTGGAGTAAGTATGTTTCAAAAAAACACAAAAACTGAGAGGATTTATCACCAGCAGACATACAGTAAATGAAATGCTGAAAATAAACTCATCAGGCAGAGGGAAAATGATCTCAAAAGAAGAACCATGATGCAAGAAGGGAGGAAGCGCCACGGGAAGGGTAAACATGTAGATACATTTAGAATAATATCATGTGGAATCTAAGTTATACATAGAATGTAAAAACTATATATCCACAATATCACAAAATATGGAAAGGAAGTAAATGGAATTAAAGTGTTGTAAGGATATAGAAAAATAAAAAATTTAGGGAAGGCTGTAATCAGTCAAAGGTATATGCTGTAATCTCTGGCAATAAGCAATAAAAAAATAACAGGAATAACAAAAAGAAGCTATAACTAGTAAGCTAAAAGTGGGAAAACCCACAATAGGAACAGCTTTGCTGTTAGAGGGATTAATCTGGGTTTAACTTTTTCCTGACAACCAAGGCACAAATATATACGGAACAAGCCTGCAGGCAAACTTCCATATAGCACCTTCCCTGGACATTTCTTTCCAAAGCTCCATGGAAATGGCTGCTTAGATTTCTGCCCAGCAGGCCATGATAAATAAATATTTTACAATCAATCTCTTGGTATGATCATTTTGCTCATATTAACTAGCTAACCAAAAGAAAAATCTACTTGGAATTCAACTTCTATTAATTACCCCAATCTCAGCATACATTAAAAAGTTAGTACTTATTGCTACATTAAAAACAGATGAATCAGTTTACATGTCATCTCTGTAATTAATCAGAGAAAACCAATAATTTTACGGTTTTTTTAGTAAAAACAATGACTTCAGTATAAAGCTACAACCCATAACCCCCCTGGCATTTGTACTTCTAGAACTCCAAGATAATATGATATTACCAGTTGATGTTGAATGTTTTCATGACGTTGCTTAAGAAGTTCTTCTGTCCTTTGCAAAAGGCCAAATTCAGCTTTAAATTCAGCTATTATCTGATGCTTCTTTTTGAAAACCGTACTCTTGCTTCGAAGTTTACTGACGTATCGTTTGAACTGTAAAAGAACACAACACATCGCTTAATGAGTAGAAAAGTAGTTGCTAAGTATCATTTATAATCCGAATGCATTAGAAAAAAATTTTTCTACCATCCAACACGTGTCACAAATATATAACAATAACTTAGTTTTATTAGAAAAGTTGGAAAGACTAACTGCTCAGTTAAAATACTTTTGTATGTTTTTATTTTTTGTACCCATTAAATGTTGTAAATCCTTATTATAAAAGCTACTCATTTTGGGCTTTACAAATAAGGATTAGGAAAACAGAAACTTCAACCCTATGACAGTTAAAAGGTTAAAAAGAAGAAGAAAAAAAAATAGACCAATACTGGCTGAGGTCTTATCATGATCTCTCTTAATGTACTGTACTATTTTGGTGGCACTGGATCTACTGGGATTAATACAGCCAACCAGAATAGTCAACATTTATAGCTACTATTTATCATTTAAGAAATGCACTGTGACCATATATCCTAAGAAGCATCTGAAATTCATCCTAAATGTTAAAAAACTAAGACTATTTCAAATTAGTGGGAACTCATAGTTGCTTGATTCAACTATTTACATACTAATACTAAAATTATAACTACTCTACCCTAATGGAAAGACCCCATCCATTATTAAGTAATATCAAACAGAGTTCAGAAAAGCAAGTGAAATGAATACATAAAGGAATTCATTTGATTAGTTCTGTTTATTAGCTATTATGCACTAGGCAGTGTGCCACACACTGAGACTACAATTCTAAACTGATACTCACATGTCCTTCCCTCAACAAGTTAAAGGAATACTGGGAAAAACAAACACTGAACCAATGTTTACAACCATGGTGAAGCAATGAAGGGGCCCTGAGAATAAGTAATAGGAGTTTAACCTGGGCTGGGATGAAGGTAGGAAAGGTGTGGCTGAGATTTAAGAGGGATGGATTATGACAAGCTTCTCAAAAATAACTATATTTAAGCCAAGACTGAAGAAGTAGGAGTATGTTAGAGGAAGGAGGAAGAAGCAAGGGAGAGTACTCCAGGTAGAGGAAATAGCGGGTGTAAAGGTCCTGAGGCACCAGCTCATTAAAAGCACAGCTCAACAGAAGAAGCGAATGTGAAAATTTTCTGGTATTTCTGAAACAGAACATAATACTTTAAAAAAAATCCCTTCCTCTTATGTACCATTAGTACTAATAATTCTCAGGGGGTTATCTACTATATAAAATAATTTTTTCCTGCTCTATCCTTTTTATTAACTACATCATTTAAAAAATCTCCATAGTAAGAATCTGGCCTATTATATTTAACCATTACTTCAAAACAAAAGTAAGCCTCCATATTGCCTAACATAAGAAAATTCATTGATAATCTTAGCCTTTTTTATGCAAGGTCCTTTATAAGGCTAATTGGGGGGCTATAAATAATTTTATAAATAAAAGTCATGAACATATTGCTGAAATTTTAGAAAACAGAAAAGAGGAAAAATTCACTCAAAGCCACTATCCCAACACAAGCTGTAATACCATGTTGATATTTTACCTCCTAATTAAGGCTAAATCTAAGGTCAGTAATTCTAAATTGTAAGGTAGCAAAATAGGAAGTAGAACATTTCTAAAATGTAGTTTTTTTTTTCTTAAAGACTTGATGGATTCCTGAATACACAAAGAAAGGCCTTTAGAATAGTAAGATTAATTATTCTTCACATAAAAATAACCTCCTAATTCCCAGTTTAGAGATCTTTTAAAACCTGAACTTTGAAAGAAATGAAGGACACATTGTGTTTCAGAGGAAGGAAGTTCAAAAGTTAGTTTTAGTTAGTTATTAAGTTAGTTTTAATATTAAGGAATCCAGTTCACATACAGCAAATGATCAATGGCTGAATAACAGAAACTGTTTAAAAAATTTAAGTCATACTAATGGACTGAGTCTAATAACTTGTAATTTTTCCTTTTAAAGGATAAATGTGTAAGCCTGATATAACCACAGACTCAGAATCCCCAGAGTAACTATATGTTCTATTAAAAGTGTCCTGGGCAAAGTGCCCAAAATGAAATCAATCCTGTTCATCTGCTATCCTCTGTATTATCTAGGCCAATTTTCCCCTTCTCTATCTTGCTGTGCTCCGGAACTATTTTTAAAAGCTAAAAGCTATAAATGTTTTTGGTGAAAGAACAAACCCACCGATTACTCAATGTACTCTATGCTGATTGGTTATTATTTGGCATTCACTGGACAAACTACCTAGTGGAAAGGTAGTCGGGATCAGATTAATGACAGTTCTATATAATTAAGCAATAGGTGGCATCGAAGCACTCTGAAGGTTCTACTACCCCCAGTGAATTAGAGGAAAGAAAATGCCTTATCAATGATTTTCTTCCACTGGAAGTTTCTTGTAACTATCATTTGGATTTTAGGTTATTTCCAAATTTTTTAGATTATCAAAAAAACCCCAACCATGATGACATATTAAGGCCAAATCTTCAGACACATTTTTAATAATTCCTATAGGCCATACTTCCAGAAATAGGGTTGTGATACACTTCCTTGCCAGAGTGCCTTTCTAAGGCTGTTTACAGTACTGTTTATAACTATCAATTTGATATGCAAAATAGTACCTTATTTTTAATTTGCATTTCCTTATTAGGGAATCTCAGTTTTTCGTCATGCTAATTCTACATCTGTGAGGATCTTTTTTTTAATGACTTGCCTGTCTTTGGCTCAGTTTTTAAATGGAGCCTTTTCTGTGCATCTGTAACAGTGATTTCCAAACTTTTTGGTCTCAGAAACTCTTTATATACTGTAAAAATTATTGATGATCTCAAAGGGATTTGTTTATATAAATTGCTGGCATAGTAAATTTGAGGGAAAGGAACAGAATATTCAATTAATGGACCCCTTACTTCATAACATATAAAAATCCATTCAACTGTATTATAGACTTAAATGTGAAAGCCAGAACTAAAAATCTAGAATATAGGAAAATATCACTATGATCATTGAGATAGGAAAAGATTTCTTAAACAAGACATGAAAAACACAAACCAAGAAAGATGACTGATAAACCTGACTTTGCTAAAACTGAGAACTTTAGTTCATCAAAATACGTATTAAGATATTAAGAATATAAATCACAAGTTGGGAGAATATATTTACAATACATTAATCCAATAAAGAATTTGTATCCAAAAACATAAATTAAATCTACGAATCAATGAAAGAAAGGCAAATAATCCAATAGAAAAGTGGATAAAATACTTGAATCGGCACTTTATAGAACAGAAAACTCAAAATGGCCAATAAACATATTAAAAGATGTTCAACCTCATTAGTAATCAAATTAATAATACAAATTAAAACCACAATAAGATACCCACCTGATTAGCAAAGATAAAAAGTCCTTTAATACTGTTATCAAAGATGTGGAGGAAGCAGAACACCTATACATTACTGCAGGTGGGAGATTTATAATTTAGAACAACAGTTTGGAAAACAACTTGGCATACTTACTGAAGTTGACCTGTGCTCAGTTCCTGCCCCACCAGCTCCACTCCCTTGAACAGCAGGGCTTCTCACACTTATCTATGGGATGGACTAGTTTTTACAAATTTCTAACCATTTATGGACTGGATACTTTAATAAAATAATAAAAATGTTCATACAACATCAAATTACTATAATTGTTCCTAAATGCTTCCTCTTAACTTACAAGGTTGTGGGTTAGTAAGTAACTAACAGTCTGTGGACTGGAACTGGTCCACACTTTGAGTAGCACTGCTCTAGAGCTTCCTAAATGGAGTATGCTCCAGTACACTCGTGTGGCACAAATATTATGGGTGTGCCAAGATATTAACCCACTCAGACTTTGCAGAAGCTGCACATTATTACAAAGAACTCCCAAGCCAGTTACTCTCAGCTGTAAACAGCCTGTCCTTTCACTTCAGTATGCTGAACAATAATCATTTTCTTTAAGTGTCCTATTTTGAAAAAAGTTAGAAAACACTACCCTGGAAAAATCCTTGCTCATAGTCACTTAGGGGATTTATACACATAAAAATGTTGATAGAAACACTGCAATAGCAAAAAATTAGAAAACACAATACAACAAACTGCTGTATATCACACAGTATAGTATATACAGTGAAAATAAACAATTACAGATTCAAGGAAGTAATGCAGAGCCAAAAATCAAGTTACAGAATACATAGAGTATGTGCCCATTAGTATTGCTTAGGAAAACTAAATAACATATTGTTTAAGGATACAAATGGATGGTGGTCAAACAGTTAATAAAAGTCAGAGAATGATAAAAACCGAACTCAAGATCGTAGTTACATCTGAGAGGGAATGGAAACTGGATGGGATAGGGAAGAGGCACACAAGGAAACTCAAAGGTTTTTTCTTTCTTAAGCTGAGCAATGAAAGTACATACATGTTCAAGATCTCATATTTCTTTACTCCTCACATAACACACACACACATTTTAATACTACACAGTTTTAAAAAATTAAATATTTTAACATCTAACCAATGAGTACCAGGAAAAGAGAAAAGAAAAAAAAAAGATAGAAATAATACAAGAAAAGTTCCAAAAACTGAAGGACATAAGATTCCAAATTAAAAGAGCCAATGGTATATAGCACAGGCAACTATATTCAGTATCTTGTAGTAACCTATGGTGAAAAAGAATATGAAAATGAATATATGTATGTTCCTGTATGACTGAAGTATTGTGCTGTACATCAGAAACTGACACAACATTGCAAACTGATTATACTTCAATTAAAAAAAAAGAGCCAATGGAATGCCTAACTCAATGAAAGAAATAATTATACTTAAATCTGTAATCTTATAAATTTAGAAAACCAGAGGTAGAGAGGATTCCAAAAGTTTCAAGGAGAGGTAAAATAAAAATAATAGTAACAACAATAAAAGGTCACATCAAAGGACTTGGAATCAGAATACCCTCAGAGAGCAATAAGAAACAGTAGAAGGCAATAGAACGGTGACTTT